GAATATTGTCGAATACCTGGCGTGTGTCAGAGGCCAGTCCAAAGAAAGAAAACTAGAACTAAACTAAAAAACTAAAACTAAAGCCCTAGATATCTTTTGCTTCTGTACGTTGTCCCCTTTTAAAGCAACAAAAGAAAGATGACTAAAAGTTATCTAGGTGGTCCCCACACATGTGGACAAAGCCTCCCAAGTACTTCTTGTTCCAAGTCTCTCTACGTTGCTTTCTTTGAAGCCCAAATGACCAAATGCCTTTCACTAGCTTGTGGTCCCCCACCAATTCAAGGGCCCAAGGATTGAAGCCCTTAGAAATCTCCATATTTTTCACAAAGTCCCTCCTTTTTGGTAGTTTTCTGCTTCATTTCTGAAATTGATTCCAAATACCAAATATGAGTAAATATCAGCAATTAACACAATATTTGTCAGGGATAGAAGGGAAAATTAATAATAAAAATACTAACAAATTATACCCTATCATGTTTGGTCTATGAATTAAACTAGTTCCTGATATTTTTGCCAAAATAAATATGATCTCAAATTTTTTTATTTTAGGTAAATTTAGGACAACTAATAGAAAACTACAATATCTAATGGTCAAAATCAAGTTTTTTAGGTTTAGTCAAAAGTTTGACTTTATATTTTTGGTCTCTAATATTTGAAAATTTGATCAATATGGTCCCTTATGTTTTAAATAATTATACTTCAAATGAAATAAAATGTGAATTAGATTATATGCATAAAAAATGTGTTCTAAATCTCATTAAAATCCTTAAAAGTAATCCACATTGTCAAAACATATCATTTAGCCTAAAGAGAGTCTTTTCGTTAAATTAATTACAAACAAATGATAATACATAAATCATATATAAAAGAAAATTTAGTGGAAAAAAGAGAGTTTTAATTTGAGTGTATAGTAAATTTAATTGTAAACAGTATAACACAAATCGTTATTTAACTTGTGGATATGAGTTTCAATCGGTTATGATTAGGCACTATGATTGCAATAACAAGTAAAGGAGGACTCACACGAATTTTTAAAAAATTTATTGCTATTTCTTTTGTCTTTCCTTCATATCAAATCAAATATTTCAATAATACAATTTAATGTATTTATATTTATGTTCATCTTAAATTGATAATTTTATTGAATAATTTAAATAATTATAAAATCTTTATTTCAATTGAAACTTAATTGACAACTAGGTGAAATGCCAAAAAAAGAAATGATATATAATTGTTTATATTATAATAGTATATTTAATTAACTATTTTAATTTATCAAATATAAGTATTGGGCATTAGATGTTGAATAAATTTTTAAGAGTACATTTTTCATCCACGCACAACCGGTTTTTCTTGAGTGGTGCCCGGATATTTCTTATTCGTGCGTCCCCACAGAGCACAGTTGGCCTCCTTACATTTCTTCTGCCTACTTTGGACAGAAAAGTGTACTTTCCACCGTAGACGTAACCATCAAAAACTCTGTCGGTAACCGGGGAGTGCTCCAACTTTTGACGCAACTGATGCCAGCCAACAAGCACGTGAATCTCTACCCCCCATCCTTATATCCATTATGGATTACTTTTTAGGTCATGGAATGTCGTTTAGTTTAGGGTTAATATCGGAAATCTACCTGAGGCTTCTTCTAATCACACCTGGCCCACCCCTCATATTTTCAAAATCACACCAAACACCCGTGGCGGTAGGATGTGACAGGCTGTCTCTATCAAAAGGGCGGAAATTACCCAAAAACCACCAATATTGTGCATTTAAGGGTAGAAATAATGCTCTGATGCATCCATGAACATGCCTTTTTCTGTGTGTGTTGTATTAATTTTGTAGTAAGATTTCTAAATTGAAATATGTAGGATTGTTAACTTTTTTGGGTATATTAGCTCTTGGAATCTACATCGCTACTTATTTTCTTATACTTCAACATGCACCCCAAATAATCACTGCCGAAGTTTGTATTATCTATGACTAACATAATGTTTACTGAGTTTGGAAACGTGTGAAGCACTGAAAATATTACTTCTACTTCATCAAATCGATTTTTATGATTTGAATAAAAATATAGCTGCCGATGTACCAATTAGAACTGTTTGTTTCCTTACTGAATCTCCAATCAACTTGCTGCAAAATTTCCCATTTAAGTGCTACGTATTGGTGGTGTCTTCCATTGAAAGCAATTTATAGAGATCAAGCATCATCAGTTTAACCATTGGAAGCAACGGTCATTTGGAAGTCCGTCGTTATAACATTCTTTTTTTATTACACTTTTACCTTCTCACCTTCTGAATTAATATCATATGCCTATTTGTTTGTATTTGTATCTCCTAAAATTCACTAATCATCTTGGCCTGTGGGTAAAAGTGGAACAAAAATAAATTCCTCTCCTAGAATTTATTTTTTATTACTCTTTTTTTTCAAACAGAGAGGCTGACAATGATACCAAAATTGTCATTCCAAGAGTGCTAGGTGTGATTTCAAAAACATGGGGGAGAGGGGGTACTAGGTGTGATTAGAAGAAACCTTCGAGGAGGTTTCTATTATTAACTCTACTAGTCATGGGATAATTTCAAAAACATCTCCTGAGGTTTTTGACAATCCCACTGTCCTCCATTGAGATTTTCAAAATATCGAAAATCTCTCCTAAAACTAATTAGTTGATAACAAATCAATCCAATTCAAATGCAAAAACAATATAAAATTGGTATTAGGAGAGAGAAAATAATTTGATTCTATAATTACCTTCAAGTTTTTGCATTAGGTAGTTAATTTACTATGAACAATAGATACCTATTTTAACTTTATCAAATGTGAGAGGATATAAGTGAAATTGCTTACAAAAGTAAGGCTTCAATTTGTGCAACTATTACCGCATTCATAGAGCGTAAACAAAATATCAACTTTCTAACTTTACAACAATTCAAAGTCTTATGTACATGTTGCACTTGTAATATCATACTATTATGTCTATTATAACACAATCAATTGCATACTCTGCTACAAGAAAAACAAAATATGTAAGCACTACTATTGCCAACATTTTAGTTTAAAAAAGACTATTTGTTGAATAATCACAAACAAGAAAAAAATTGGTCATCATTAAAAGGTTTTTCAATTTAGTAGCATAAAACCAACAATCTTAACATATATTTCATACAACACCAACATCCATTTTCCATGATAATAAAAGTAACACTTAGGATAAAAAAAAGAAAAAACACAACAATTCAATACCAATCTTCAAATGGAGCAAATCATATAGAACATGATACAAACTACATAATGTCAAATTTTCCTTTTTTTGGTTTGATCCAAGATACTTTTTTTTCACTTGGAAGGTCACTATTAAGCATGATCATCAATAACTACTTTAACATCTGCAATCAAATAATAAAAATTTCCAAAATTTAAGAGTAGAAAAATCTTAAAGGTTGACCTTGAGATTTTCGCAATCACCAAAATTTTGAAAAAAATTTGAAAGCAAATTTCCTCTTGAAGTCTCCTAAATCCTTAGATATGCTTAAAGAAGCTCTATTTCTTTTATTCCACAAAACCATCTAAAGTTTGAATCATTACTTCTACTCACGCACATCAATTATCAATTATAGAAATGTGCCTATATTTGGCCCCATTTTGTAGTGGCATGCTAGAAAAATTTTAAAAAACTTATAAATTGTCATTGTTTCTTTTAAACCTAGTTAATAACAATATAACTAATCATGTCAACATAATTGTTGTCGCGCCCCATTTTTTTTGAAAAATAAAATAAAATTTATAAGTTATCGAGAAAATTTGAATTTTATTTGAAAATGATGAGTGAAAAATGAGTTTTTATTTTAGGGAAGAAACAAAAGAAAAAGGGCATAAAATAGGACTTAAAAAGTGCGACGATTTTGGTACAAAATAATAGTCTAAAAAGGGTTTTTAAGAAAAAAACAGGAGTTGCCACTTGGTATTGAGTTTAGGTATACCAAGTCACTTAAAATATGTTTTTTAATAAAAAATAAACAAAACCCTTTTTAGACTACTCCAGGTTTTTGAAAAACAAAAGAAAAAAAGTTCGAGAGTCACGGTTGAAGAAAGGGAAGGTAAAGATTTGATCTAAGGCACCCTTTCAACCTAGCCAGGGTTAGTTGCGTGATTTAGTCAAAATTTTTCTTAATCTAACCTATAAAACTTATCACATTAGGACATTTCTATATGGATGCAAATCTAGATCTAATGAATATCGAAAGGGTCGAAATATCTCTTCAAAGTTTAATTGGTGCAAATCACATTAATTATGATGCCCTAAATGATTTTTAGAAAAGGTCACGAATATGCAAAAATGAGACTCAAAGAAAAGAAAAATTATAATATATAAATATACATGACCTAAAGGAGAGGAATGCAACATAACGGGTATGGGAGACTAAGATTCGTGACTTTAATTTTCCTTTTTATAGAGAGGATGAGAGCGTGCTAAGACTAAGAAGCCACACTCGTTCATTTCCCATATTCAAAAGGTGACTTTTCTAATATAGTCAAGCAAATGAGTTAACCTATTTCTAATTTCCTAAATGAGATGCAAATCTAAATGTCATGTTTTGCACATAGGGATGAGAGAGGTAATATATAGAGGAAATATCATGCAAGATGAGAAAAGACCCTAAAAACGAAAAACATGTATGAGATGTGATGAATGTCACGCAAAGAATGTGAATCTAGCGCGAAAACGGCCTAAAGGGTCTAACGTTGGACTAACCCATTTCTACACGTCTTCACTAGCGTTGGACTAGTGAGAAATCAGGGAGAAAGGCTACAACTAACGATGGACTAATGTGGTGACGTCATGCATTTATTAAAACTAAATAAAATCATATAAAGCATAATAAAAGGAATTAAACACATAATGCACATAAAACATATAATACATAGGCATAATTTTTAGATGCAAAACTCTAATGAAAGCGAATAAACACATAAGCACACAAGCATGCAAGCACCTAAGCAAATAAACGCAAATAAGAGTCTAACTATTGCATTCGAGGCCCTAATTACAATCTAAAGGGAGAATTCTAAAAATAATAACCTAACTATTACATTTATTTAACTAAATACATTTTTAGCAAAAATTAAAACCTATCTATTACATAGACTAGCTAGATACATGTCCTGATCATCTATCTATTACAATTTGGCATTTTAATGCCTCTCAAATAATTATCAAAAATGAAATAAAATAAATGAAACTTAAAATGAATAAAAATGAATAATTAAAAGAAAAAAACACTCAAAACATGCAATTACACATAAAACACATTGGAGCACATAAAAGAATTTCAAATAATAAAAGAAGTTACCTCCCTTGAAATTGTGGTTGAATGGGGTGAAATTTGCCCTACTTATGCTTCAAAATCAATAAAATGATCAAGACACTAATTTAATTATAAAGAAATAGAAATAATCATGAAATCTACCAATTAAATCACCTAAATGAAGTATAAATAACAATTAAAGAAGAAAAGTAAATTATATTTAAGAAATCAAAACTACTAGGGACCTAATTACAACAAATAAGAAAGTTATTGGGGTCAAATTATAATTATTATAAAAATTAGGGGCGAAAGAAAGAAAAATAAAGTTTAGGGACCTATTTACAATTAAATTAAGGATCTAATTGAAAGAAACCTAAAGTTTTTAGACTCACATCATAATTACTGAAAAGTCTAGGGACTGACTTGCATTTTTCGTCACCAGATCACTTAAATAATTGGGCCATTGGGCCAACTTTCATTTTCTTTTGTTTTGGTTGGGCCGAAACCTCCCCAAGCCCAGCTAAAGTCCAAAGCAAAATACACAGGCCAGGCCATAGTTTTACCCAATCAAACCCAACTGAATAAGTATGGGCTTTGGCCTCCTAGCCCAAGTCAAAACCCAATCAAAAAAAGCCCCAATCTATAACCAAAAGCCCACAACAAAAACTTTAACCCAACCTAACCTATTTTACTAAAACCCAACCAAGTAATAAATCTACAAAAAAAAAAAATGCTAAGCCTTAATTATGTGTTAAATCCCAGGATTAATCTACCTAAAAGGTCACATAAAGCATGCAAAAGAAGATTAGAATTTAAAAGGGGCAAAATTGATTGAGATTTTTCAGATTTTGGGCCATATCAGAATTAAGCAAAGGTTGAGGGACCAAAACGAAATTTCCACAAAATTTTCATGTAGCCTGGTCGAAGCTTTGCTGCAATCAGGAAGCTTTCTGCAATCTCCTTTCGCATTCGATGAAACACCAGCAATATCTCAACCAAACACCAAGATCTTGGATCCAAACAAATAGATTACGCAACTCTACCCTCAACACTCAATCTTATTACGTTTAACACAAGATTATATAAAAAATCTAAGCTAAAATGAACATCAAAAGAAAACAAAACAAGCCCAGATGCAACCAGCATTTTGACAGATTGGGAAGGATTTAAGCTTATACGGAAAGGAAGTGAGCAAAAAGAGTTACCTTTGATGAGAAGATACCAAACAAACACGGGAAATCCGAGGAGAGTGAGATTCAAAACTGAAATCTGAAAGTTAAGATCTTTGCTGCAGAAATTTTAAAGATGACTAAGGCAGCAAGTTCAAGCCCAAATTTGAAGATGTTGCAGCGGTTTTTTCCAAAACTTTTCACACCAATATTATTCCTTGATCATTCTAGATTACCCAGAAAGCAACATCTGCTCCAGAGAGGCTAGACCGAAATATGACCACGAAACACCCCCAATAGTCAACCCTGGCTCGTGTTCTTCCTAAAAATTTTTCTGCACTTTTTCTTCCCTTTCTCCCTCAATTTTCTCTCCTTTTCCTCTGTATTTTTTCTTTTTTCGGCTCCTATTTATCCCCCATCGCTTTCTTGCATTTTTTGGAACCTTTTTATAGGCACAAAACTCACCCCAACCCTAGCATCTAAGGTGCAGATTAGCTGAGAAATTTCTAAATTTATTATGAAATTTAAAATTTTTCTACAAATGGAGCTTTTTTAGTGTAGCATTCTGTCTAAGTGATGTTTGTATTTGCAAAATACGAGCTCACTAAGTTCGCATTTCGCAAATGCGATTTATTATTGAATTTCTGATTTTACAAAAATAAAAAAAAAAAAATTGCTTCAGACCTCGCATTTGACAAATGCGAGGTTACCTTGTCAAAAGGTTAGGCAACCCCACGTTTGACACATGCGAGGTCAGCACTGCATATGCGAGATTCCGTCACTGGACAATATCATCTTCTTCGTCACTGGCATTTCAGCATCTTCTTCCGTCATTGGACAATAACATCAGAAAGCTTACCTTATTCACCGAAAGATGGCTGTAGCTTCAACATTTTCTGGTCTTCGTTTTGCAGCTTTTCGGGGATTCAACTTTCTGGCGAGAGCTTCCGAAATGACCAGAGTTGGACTCCTTCCCTCCAACAGCTGCACTCTTGATGAATGTTGCTACTTCCGAGGATTCCAATGACGGATTTGGGATGCAATTTCCCCTCAATTTGTATTTCTCAATTTTGTGGTTTCTTAGGATTTTTCTGGTTAAATGAGTCAAAGAGAGGACTGAGGTTGAAGGAGCTGTGTTTCGTTTTTGACCGACAGACAAAGGACCTCGCATTTGAGAAATGCGAGGTCGACTTAAAAAAAAAAATGCTACTTGGCTTTTTGTTAGCTCGCATTTGCTGAATGCGAGCTAAGCTAGTTCGCATTCAGCAAATGCGAACCACCTGATTTTAGAAATCACCCCCACAAATACCCTCTCTTGTAGAAAAACTTTTTTTTTTTCATAATAATTTAAGAATTTCCTCCTGATTAGCTGCACTTTTCTTGATGGTTTTTGAGCCATTAGATGGCTTTTGTCCTGGGATTTTCTTGGTGTTTGGATTAAAGCCAGGTGGCTTGGTACTGGAGTGATCCAATGGAGCGAAAAAACGGAAGAAAAATGAGTGAAAATGGATCAAAATGGCTGCTGCAATTTTTCTGGTGCCATGACTCGTTCATGGTTTTGTATTATGAAGATGAAGCGTGCGTGCTTGTGGTTGCCCCCTTTTTTTTTTAACAAAAAACTGATTTTGTTATTTTTTTTCTTTTCTTTTTTTTCTAATTTTCTTTTCTGCCTAATTTTTGTAAAAATGAATTGGAAAAAAATGATTTTGTTAAGAAAATGAACAAAATAAACTAAAGTAAGATTTACAACAAAAACAACTAAATAGTAATAAAAATGAAGAAAATAAAGTAAAATAAAATATATAAAAATAAAATGGTAAATTTTTTTTTTCTTGGTAAAATTTTGGTGTCTGCAATTGTGAAATACCTCTAAAGTTGTATGAGTAATTAAGTTATTTCTCCATGATTGATGTAGCAATTGGACACCAGTGACCTTATAAGGGGTTTCTGATATTCTAGAAACCTCAGGAGAGGACAGTGAGATTGTCAGAAACCCCAAGGGAGGTTTTTGAAATTATCCCACTGATTATTCATGTTCATGAGCAGATAATTACCAGATTAAGGTCTACAAGTTGAATTTTGTCCAATTCAATCTAGCATGAAAGACTATTTATTACACACTTTTAAATAGTGTAAATATCTTTAGTAGGTTGGCCTTGTTTTCCTCTTGTTTTAATAATGGTATAGTGGAAATCTCTAGACTCTAAAACTTTTATGAGACAAAAGAATTAGTAATATCTCTTAGAGGGCTACACTACTTTGCTTCTAGTTCTAATAATTCCACAAGAAATTTTAACACGTTTTAAAGGGATTAGTGGCCTCTCTAGTTGATTCTGTTCATTACAGTCTAATTATTGTAATCCTTACAACTTTCAGCTTAAACTCATATAACTTTGACGTAATGGTGAATTAATTGTACGAGTTAATAATATTCATATTCCTATCAAAATTGTACCATTCTACATCAAATTTTGTGTTATTTACATAATTGAATAAAAATTCAACTAGAGAGACCCTTGATTTGTTTTAGGGAAAAATGCACTTTTCATCCTCGAAGTTTGGCCTGTTGATCAATTTCATCCTCAAAGTTTCACTCAAAACACATTTCATCCTCAAAGTTACGTAATTTTGGCCAATTAAGGACAATTGACGGGAAATGAAGAAAATTGACGTTAGACCCAACTGTAAACCCAACAAAAAATGAGTTAAACCAAATGGAGCTATTTTTTAACGGAACAAAATTGTTCCAACGGACGAAAAAACATTCTTCTCCTTCTTCCCTCTGCCTTTCTGCAACCCCAAAATTTTTTTCCCAAAAGCCAAACCTTACACCACCTTGAAGCAATCAAATACTACATTTCTATATTTTCATTTTCACATAAAGAGAGTTGAGAAGTGACTGAGGGGGATAGAGGGCTTTCAATCATGGAAGACGTGATAGTGGAAGCCCTTCTATCTAATGAACGGGAAGCTCAGATTTTAGCTACCAGAGAACTTGGTAAACTTGCAACCAAACTAAGACATAAGTTAGTAGAAAGAGGGATCATTTCTCGGCTCGTTACGATGCTTCATACGCAAGATTATGAAGCCACTGAAACGGTACTCTGCTCTAGCTTTTCACAGTGAAAGGTAATGTTTGCTTCAGTTAAAATTTGCAACTTTTGAAGTTGCATCCGAAGGCATTGGCTGTAGAATTGTTCCCCATCTAATTTTGCTATGATTTTGCAGAAACAAGATCCGAATTGCAAATTCTGGTGCCATACCAGTATTGCTGGAGATCATTCAATGCCAAAACGAGTCATTGATTGACCTTGCAGCAGCAGCCCTCTTGGTTCTTTCTTCTTGCTCCGCTAACAAGCTAGCAATCGCAGCATTTGGGGCTATCCCAATCCTGGTTGGATCCCTGAATTCCCAATTGGCAGAAGAACGCGGTTTCCAGAATCTAAGCGTGTAGGCTAAGCTCGATATCATATTAACATTTCACAATCTCTCCACCTATCCTCAGATAATCCCATCTATTGTTTCTTTTGGTATGGTAAAAGCCATGCTTCAACTAATGTATGAGTTCGGAAAACAATCAGAGATGATTGAGAAGGCGAGGGCATTACTGGAGAAGATGGTTTCCTCGTCAGAGATTGCACTGAAGGAGGTTGCTGAGACTGCATCTCTTGTAATCCACTTTCTAGTGGAGGCCATCGAGGAAGGTACACCACTATGCAAAGAGCACGCTGCAGCTATGTTACTGGTCATGTGCCAAAGCTGTAGGGATAGATGCAAATCCAGAGATTGGCCAAAAAGTTTTGGGGTTGCAGAAAGGTAGAGTGAAGAAGGAGAAGAATGTTGGTTTTCGTCCGTTGCAACAATTTTTGTTCCGTTAAAAAATAGCTCCATTCGGTTTAACCCATTTTTTGTTGGGTTTACAGTTGGGTCTAACGCCAATTTCTTCATTTTCCGTCAATTGTCTTTAATTGGCGAAAATTATGTAACTTTGAGAATGAAATGTGTTTTGGGTGAAACTTTGAGGATGAAATTGATCAACGGGCCAAACTTTGAGGATGAAAAGTGCATTTTTCCCTTTGTTTTAAAGAGCAGCGCATCATCTGTTACACATCCGAGTGTTGCACTCTACAAGTTGGTATAATTCTTGCAATATTTAATTTATATTTTTAATAAGTTGGTGTACAATAATATTTAGTGTTCAAGTCGTACCAGGTATTAATTTACACCAATCCAATGAAAAAAATACACCAAATATTCTAAGATTTATGGTTAACATGCAAATATGTAAGGGAAAATGACCTATTTCATCCCTTGCATTTCACAAAAATATTCTTTTCGTCCCTCACTTTTAAAACGAAACAATTTGGTCCCTGACATTTAAAAATTAAACCTATTACATCCCTGAACCTAATTGTCAATTTGAATCAAACCATCCGATAACCCAATAATAAATTTCGGAGATAGAATTGATAGATCATATTCACATGACATTTATTGAACCAAAAAAAATAAAAAGTATAACATAAAAGGTCATTCTTTGTCTTGGAATAATAGGATTTCTTTTTTGGGTAAATCTTTTCATGTACCGTTAGTATATACGCTTGTGAGTCTACATGTATATTATAAATACAAAATTTGGTGTTTAAATTTAAATTGAAATGATATGGCAGGTACATTAACCCATCAGTGTATACAATGACAATGTAGGAAAGATTAATTCTTCTTTTTTATGTTATAATTTTTTATTTTTTATTTTGGATTTCATTAAATTTCACGTGAATATCAAGTTGAGTTAGTCAAGTGATCTACCAATTATACCCCCAAAATTTGTAATTAGGTTGATAGATGGTTTGATTCATATTGAAAATTGGGTTCAGGGATGTAATAATTTCAGTTTTTAAATGTCAAGGATGAAATTGTTTCGTTTTAAAAGTGAGGGACGAAAAGAATAATTTTGTGAAATGTGAGGGATGAAACCGGTCATTTTCCCAATATGTAATAAAGGATCCCAAGTCAGTTAAAGCTGGTTATTGCCGCAAGTTTGGCACTTTTTTGTGGTTTAACTGTACTTATTACCTAATCCTGGTGCTCAATGAAGAGAAAGACCCAATAATCTATTATTTTTAGTCAAGTAATTATTATACCAACAAAGGAAGAAGAATAATCAGTAATGCAATTGTGAACAGAGCATTAACAACTTCAGACTCGGAGAAAGGAATTTAATAAAGTAAGAGGGCCAAATGCCTTGAGATGATGCTAAAAAATTACTGTCGATCCACGAATGCACAGCTTGAAAACTCGCGTTCACTTTGATAAGTAAAATAACAAACTTCTCTTGTGTAAGTTGGCGATTAAGAGGGATTTATCCTCTTTGATCAGTACGTTGGGATTCAAATTTCATACCCTACAATTAAAAAAGTTCAAAAAGTGT